AAGATTAGAATTTGCTACATTGATAATACAAATATATAATATTGATAATTGATAAATACATGATGAAGTTCGTTAGGATTACATTATTTGTGTTATTATATTCCTCTGTTATTTTGCGTATGTTAATTGTTATACCTTTGGAAAAAGATGCTCAAAACACTGATGGAAGATCATTTTGTAGGATTGTGATTGACTGTTTCAATCTGAAATGTTTTATTAATATTTTGTTTGCAAAATTAGTAGAATCCCAACACCCTTTCTGAAGAATCTCATTTATTAGTGATTTGAACAAATCTATTTTTGGGTTAGATTTTGTTTATCAAAATTGATAAAAAGGGAGGAACTGTTGGGGAAATATTTTCCTAGGCCCATAACTTTGACCCAGTTAATCAGTTTGCACTGACCTCACTGAGCTCAGGCACCTGTAGCCTATGGTGCTGTGCTCTCAGTGTTTTTTCTCCCTGTTCCTGCCTGTTTTATCTTGTTATGCACCATGTTGATTATTCTATTAAAGATCTTCAGAATTGGTTTGGCATCTTTTGTGTTAACTCGTGGCATACGATATGTCTTTTGAATTCTCCGGCCGAAGCTCAAAATAAACCAGTGTTTGCCATCAAAGTTCCTGCTCTCCCTGTGTCTCTGAATCCTGTCTCCATTGCTTCAGAAGTTTCCACCACAGGATTATATATTTCTAATGTACTGAGTCTCTTCTGACACACTTAATCATTATCAATTTTAACCGTTTAACTCTAAACAATTTCTGCAAGTTTTATAGATTGATGTATCTATTGATATTTTCTTTTACATTTTGAAATATAATGGATTTTTGTTGTTGTTGTTGTGGTGGTGTTATAATGTACCCAATCCATGCTAGCTAGCAATAATGACCTATATTTCAAGGAGATAAGAGACTGACTTTCTAATGAGCAAACTCGTTTTGGATAACAATGCATTGTGCTCTGAATTAACTTTTTACTGATGTCTTTTGACAGTGCTTCCTGATTTAGGAAATTATACAAAAGGGATAACCAAAATTGCCTCAGTAAAAATGTTATTAATATGAATTTTCAATCTGTCTTTCTCTAATGTTCACATTTCTTGTTCTGCAAATGTATGCCAATAAGCAGACTTTAAATAAGATAATTCCTCATTTGCATATTCAAACATATATATTTTGAAAACTGATTCTTTAAATGTAAGTAATCAACTGGGGAAGTTTCTCGGTGATATCTATGAGTTGATTTCTTTACCCTTTATCTGAGCAGGAGAACACGAGTCTGGTTATTCATCTTCTTCATTTTCAGATTAAAATGTACAATTTATATATATGATGGTTGAAAGATAGAAAAACAGCATTAGGAGAAACAGAGACTACACACCACGGAGAATGCTTCATGACCAGGTACAATCTTTTAAAAAAAGTAAGAATCAACATGACAAGTGAGGCTGAATATTGATTATATTGTGAAGATGAATGCAACACAAAGACTCAGAAACTGATATAAATATCTGTGAAACACCACACAATTGAAAACGTAAAAATTGAGAATAGATAAAGTGATGATTATGATTAAAAGTCTCTTAAAGTCAATTAAAAAAGATCGATAAAACTTTAAAGGTCCCATGTCATGCTTTCTGGTTATTACCCGTCCCCTTGTGTGTTATGTAGCTTTGTATGCATGTAAACGGTCTGCAGAGTAACAAACCCTCAAAGTACACCCTGTAGCAAGTAAGGAGCTCCAACAAGCCATTTAGGACAAAGAGTGAATACACATACTATACAGAGTATGAGAAACCAATGTGAGTTTGGAAAATTGCTCAATATAAATGTATTTTAGTAGACCTCAACAATGGAATTATGATCAGTAGAAATGGCCATGACATGGGACCTTTAAACTACACAATGGTTGTTATTCGAATATAATCTTTATTAAGTTTGATTAAACCCGCTCCAGATTTTAAACTACTCCTATGTGGAAATGTAAGACAGTATTATTCAGTGGTGGAATTAGTTGAAAGATTTCCATCCAATTTAGAGATACTTGTGAATTACTTAAATATTTCCATTTAATGTTGAGTTATTCTACAGATTAATACTAAATATTTCACTAAAGCAGATAAGCTTGGAGAAAAGTCGAAAAAAGTGTTTTGTTTATCTTCCTTTCCTCCAAAGTATCTTGTTAACCACTGAACTAATATACCACATAATACCACATCATAACTACCACATATAACTGTACATGATGTGACACTGCTTCTCTTTAGTGGTGCATTCACAAGATGTCGTCAGCTTTGCCACCTGTAACCCCGGCACCTGTGGTCAGCCAGAGCTGCACGAGGGGAGAGGCACCTGCAAGAGAAAGATTATTCTTAATTTATTATACTGGCTTACAACAATGTTTATTTTATAATCAGTTTTTTAGTAACTAGAATCTTTATAGTATTTCTCCCGGCAATGGTCACATTTACAAATATTGGTTTACTTGAAGTCAAACTAGTCCCTCACCTGAAGCCTGTTGTTGTTGTTTTTGTTGAGCTTGTCTTTGTTTTTCCTGAATTCTCTCCCTTCCTGCTGCAGAGATTGACAGCGCCGCCATCTTACACACACTGATTCTTTCCTTGTTGCCTCCGGCTCCGCTGCCAGTGCTCCTGATTGGCCGGATGCTGCTGCTGATTACCCTCCCCCCTGTGCATTTAGTACCCCCCGACCCAGGGGAGCCGCTTATCCTTACATCGGTTCGGCTGCTAATATGGTCGCTGCTACCTCCACTGCTGTTTTTAGATGAGGTCCCAGGACTTCCCATGCCTCTCCTGCCAGCTGGTGAACTGCTCAGCCACCCGGGGCTAGGGGCTTGTTGGCTGTTGGTTGTCCCCCCTCCGCCTGATCGCCCTACAATCCCCACTGTGCTCCTCCGTTCACTTGCTGAGCTGTAAACTGGCGTTGATTCGCCGCTGCCAGTGCTGGCGAATCTCCCAGAGCTGCTGATCCTGTGGCTCCCGGGCGAGCTGCTTAGTCTGCTTCCACTTCCTAAGTGACTTAAACTACCACCACTACCTACGCTGCTACTGTGCCTAACAACACTACCCGAGCTGAGCCTGCCACCACTACCAGTACTGCTGAGCCTGCCACCACTACCAGTGCTGCTGAGCCTGCCACCACTACCAGTGCTGCTGAGCCTGCCACCACTACCAGTGCTGCTGAGCCTTCGTCCAGTACTTGTGTAGATGCTAGGCGGACTGACGACTTTGCCAACATTCGCATTGACACTGACCCTGTCTGCATTACTGGCACTACTCAAACGTCCACTACTCCCACCATAAACTTTCCACTCTCCACTATCTCCACTGCCAAACCTCTGCACTCTTGGTGGGCTTGTTGCTTGTCGCACTGCCATAGAAGTTCTTTCTACGCTGTCTGCGTTGGGTAAGGTATTGCTGCTCATACGTCCAGAACTCTGACCATAGACTCTCCACTCTCCACTCCCTCTGAGACCAAATCCCCCTGTTCCTGTAGGACTTGTTGGAATGTGCATGGCAGTTGACTGGCTGTCCCTGCTCTGTGGAATGGGTACACTATAACTGCGTTTTAGACTGCCCCTGGAAACCATCCAATCTCGACTCCCTCCAATTCCAAACCTTCCTGTGTTTGGTGGACTTGTTGCAGGGATCATTCCCACAGACGGAATTTGTTCACTCCCTGATCTGGGCAAGCTGCTTTCACGTCCAAGACTCCCTCCATTAACCATCCATTCTCCATTCCCTCTATTGCCAAATCTTCTTTTTTCTGGTGCACTTGTTGCAGGGTTTGAGGCAACTGAGCAAAGGCCACCATCAAGGCTGCTCTTTCGTCCAAGACTGCCACCATAAACTACCCGCTCCCCAGTTCCTCTACTGCCGAACCGCCCTTTTTCTGTTCGGCTTGCTACAGGGAGCGTGTTGCCTGACAGGCTTTCTTCAATCCCTTTACTGGGGAAAGTTGTACTTGTGCATCCCAGACTTCGGCCATAAACCCTCCAGTCTCCACTTCCCTGCCTGAAAGTTCCCTCTACCCCAGTTGTAATGACAGCTTCTGCTTTACCACTGACCCTACCTGATGAATTTGCAGCTGTGCCAACAAAACTACTAGACATAATACTACCTCCTGAATTACTCGTCAAATCGCTAAAGGAAGATCCTTCATTGGCAGGGAGACTTACAAAGCTAGCTGACCTTACAAACACTTGTTCACTGTTACTTGTCTCCTTGGCAACCTGCCAATCATTGTTTTTCTGTCCCCTCACTTTACCATCCACACTGGCAATCTCTTTCTGGCCTACAGAGCCACACATGCCTCCTTTCTTTAGATTCGGAACATCTTTGTTATCTGCAATGCAAATTGTATCTTTGAAACTCTCTATGGGATTTTTCACATCTCTTACACTTTTACGATATAGGTCTCCAAAGCCAAGTTGTCCCTCTTTGTCTGCAATGATACGACGACCACCTGGACCTCCAAACTCCACGCCTCCACTGTTTTGAAATGATCCAAAACACAAACTGTCCCCATCTCTGACTGTAACGCTGGCTTTTATATTTCTGTCCTCTCCTGGCAAAGTGTGATCGCTACTAACGGACAGAGACTGGCCTTCCTCTTTTGTCGACTGAACGTATTTCTCTACTGGTCTCACATGTGCAATCGCCTCAGTTAGATTCAGACAGACTTCTTCGTCTTTTTCTTCACCATTTGGACTCAGACACACCTCAACCTTAACTGGACTCAAACATATGTCTGGATGATTTGTACTCATAAGAGAATCAGAACTTTTAACATCCCCTTCTGGATCAACTGGGCAAAATACTTCATCTGTAATGCTCATTAACACCTCTGTCTCATCTGGGCTTAGACATGTTTCTGGACTCAAGCATGCAAATGGCTTTGTTGGACTCTGAAGCTCCTCATGGTCAGATAAACACAACGCCACATCAGAATCTGTTAGATTTAAAATCGACTTTCTTGACTTTGTGATACTCAACACTGCTCCTTGGTCTGTTATATTAATGATCTCGTTGTCCGACTCAGTAGGGTCCATTTTGTCCTCAAGGGTATCATGGAAACCCACCAAAACGTTATCTTCTAATTCAAGGTCCTTTGAAATCTCTCTACTTGGAGATTTACTTTCAAGGTTGTAATTTCTGTCTTGGCCAACAGATGAAGCAGTTGCATTACTGGACTGTGTATCTGCTTCTTCCATTACTTTTCTTCTTTCGGTATTGGAGAGTGTACCTTCTTCTTTTACTCCTTCTTCTTCATTCTTTTCTTCTGTTTCTACATCCATGTCCTCGATCAGGATTATCTCACCCTGACCCTCCTCAGACCCATGCATGTGAGGTAGAGAAATAATGGATGCTGTAACGACAACATCCCCTTCATCCCCATCAGCTTCTGTTTGAGTCTCCAAACTCAAAGACACAACTTTGGCAGGGCCCTGGTCAGTGCAATCTTTGGGAGCCAAGGTCATAGATTCTGGTTCTTTCTTTACATCTGCAGTGGCCTCTTTGCTGGGATCGGTTGTTGCTGAATGTGGTTCTTGCTTTGCTTCTTGTTCTGCGCAACTAATGTCTTTTGGGACCTTTGTTTGAACGTGTGTCCCTGTTTTATCAGCCTGCAAACCAACTGCGGTAGTTTGTTTATTGGTAAAAGGTTCTCTATTTCCTTGAACAGCAGCACTCTTTGCAGAGTGTGTGTCAAGAACTAATGTGGTGTTTCCTTGTGGAGTATTAATCTCCAGTTTAGAAGCAGTAATATCAGCTACTTCACAAGAGACCTTACCCTGATCCTCCTCAGAAGTAAGAATGTGAGATCCAGAAGCAAACAATGCTGTATCTGCAACTGTCCCCGCATTTTCTTGAGCTTCTGCTTGAATCTCCAAACTTAAAGACAGGACCTTTGTAAATTCTGGCTCTTTTTTTAGCTCTGTATCAAATCCTTTACTGGGATCAGTTGATGCCAAAAGCTGTTCTTGCTTTACTTCTGGTTCTACACAAGAAACGTTTTTGGGGACCTCTGTTTCAACGTGGGTCGTTGTTTGATCAGCCTGCAAACCAGTTCCTGTGGTTATTTGTTTAGAAGTAAGATCTTCTGGTGTTGCCAATGTTGTGTGTTCTTGTGCAGTACTTATCTTCTGTTTAGAAGCTTTGCCACCAGCCCCTTCTTCTAAAACTTGGCTAATCTCAGTACTGACAATGGATGAGTTCTGCAGCTCACAATGTTTAGTATGGACTTTATGCTCCACAGGACTGCCCTTTCTGTCCACTGTTGTGCTGACGGTGATGGATTCGCTCTTGGTTCTTTTTGGAAGAGCTCCTGTGCCCTGGTATTCAGGCTTGTGGAATAATCCTGTCAGATTTGAAGTGCTAATCGATTTTATTGGTGAGTTTTTCGATTGCTGTTGTATGACATTGTGTGTGTGGCCTCTAGAGACAGTTTGAACCCCCATCATCCTGAGATTTCCTCCCTGAACGCTAAATGTATTTATTGGTGTGATGTTTCTTTTGTAGGCAGGAGGGCTGGTTTTAGCACAGAAAGATGTGACGTTAGCCGCATAGATTGACTGAGGACCTGAGACCCTTTGAACAGGAGATATAAAGACATAACATTAAAAAAAGAACTTACAAAACAAAATCATTTGCAAAATAAATTTCAAACATTAAATGTGTCCCGCTCTATCGAAATCAGTCGGAAGTCGCGACGGCTCATTTCAAAATAAACGTGGATTTGCGTAAAAAAATAGTTTTTTGGGGTTCGGGTGTTTTGTTTGATTTTAAATAAACAAAGTCTTGGCTTTCAGAATATGAAACTTTTATTTAGAAAATCACGCGATAAATACATGTTTGAAGCTTGTAAAGGGAAGATGGCACATCTCACTCGTCACTCTGCTATTCCTTAGCGCCGCCCCCCTCCCTCCGGCTGAAATTATGAATGTAAGCGTACAGTATAGTGATCATAGATAACACGGCAGGGTCCGTGAGAGTTTGTTTTCAACTGATTTCAAATAAAGAAAGTCTTGGCTTTCAGAATATTAAACTTGTTTCCAGTAGCGTGGCGTGGGGAAAAAATTAGGGGAAGCCAATAACACGTCCATTCTTTTGGGTCGGGGGTGTGGTGGTCAATGTAATAACGTAACCAGATGAGTGATTACAGCACCCGGTATCATTTTACACACATTTGTATCATACAGATGCAGGACTTACACACGCCCGTTATAACCGACAGGTCCGCACGCACTCTCCAGCCGAAACTCTAATAAGCATTCATTCACAAACTAAATCAGGAGACCTTTAACGTTTTACGTCCGATTCGCTGTACACAGCTCCAGTTTGGTCATCAGTCATTAGTCATCAGATTGTATTTGTTAAAAGTAGGGTAGACATGTGGATATTATCCGACTGAACAAAACGTGCATTTATCTAACAGGTTCATTTTCGACTGACCTTATTTCGAGCTATTTTCCAAAATCCTATGGAGAAATCCCATTGCTTTTTTGTAGAGGGAAACCTTACTTCCGGGTTTTACGACGCGTCACTAAGTTGATGCGATTTGATTGAATTGTGAGGCATGGGAAGCCAGCCGCCTCTGGCTTCCCTTGGCATGGCCCTGACTAATCCATAGACTGTATAGGCAGGGCTGCACATAACTGGTGCGCAGGTGCGCATGCGCACCTCCGCCAAAAAAAGAGCACCGGGTCATTTGAAAAAAGGCGCATTTGCGTACCAACGTTGAGAGAGAGGGAGAGAAGAGAGGGGAG